GTTCAGGGCAGACCTCCTGACTCTCCCTGGAGCTGGGCCCCAGTCTGTTTAGACCTTTGTGAACGCAGGTCTATTGGGTGAGAGTCACCATGTGGTCACCTTTCTCTTATGTATTCAGCTTGCTGGTCTGGCTGTTTCCCATGCCAACTGTGGGCAACCTCAGGTCTCTGTTTGTACCACCTGTTGTGGGCCGAGTTACGTCCTTTGTGAGATCGTTGGGGGTAGCGTCAATTCTGTACCAGCTGATTGATCTGTTTGTACCCCCAGTGATCATTCATGGAATGTCCTTTCTGTCTACAATACAGTCTGTGTGTTGGTTCATCTTCCTGCTGGTGGTATCATTTTTGTTGGGCCTGGTCATTGACAGAACAGTACGCAGCTGTGGATGACTTTCTGTGGCTAGGTTTCCTTATTGGAATATTTGCTACAAGTTGTCAGATGTTAAATATAACAATCCAGTGGCTCTACCTTTTGCTTTTTTCCCAACATTCAGCTGGTATTCTTGATGTAGCAAAAATGTTGCCTGTTTTGATTAGTTGTCATCAAGCGTGTTTGTAGGCTTGAAAGAATTACCTACTTATGGGCATTTGGCTGAAAACTGATTCTTTAAATGCAGTAGTAAGAATTGTTGCAAAACTGTTACCAATGTCCTATACATTCAAGATAGAGCTATATATTTTACTGCACTGTATGCTTGATTATCAAAATAAGTTTTATGATATCCCATATAATCTTAACACTATACTATCCCAGTGTATGGTGAAAATACCGGTGACTTGAAGATACCTTTTTAATCAGAAGTGACACGACATGAAATGCTGTTCTGCCAATGACCAGGCCAAACAAAAATGATACAGCCAGCAGGAAGATGAACCAACACACAGACTGTATTGTAAGCAAAAAGGACATTCCATGAATGACCACCGGGAGTACAAACAGATCAATCAGCTGGTACAGAATTGACACCACCCCCAACGACCCCACAAAAGATGTGACTCAGCCCACAACAGGTGGTACAAACAGAGACCCAAGGTTGCCCACAGTTGGTATGGGAAACAGCCAGACCAGCCACATAAGAAAAAGGTGACCACATGATGACTCTCACCTGATTGACCCGCATTCGCAAAGGTCTAAACAGACCAGGGCCCAGCTCCAGGGAGAGTCAGGAGGTCTGCCCTGAACCAGGAAGCTCTGGGGAGTGCACTCCACAGACAGACACTCCTGACTCCCTGCCAGTGGTCCCAGCTTTTATCCCCAAGCAGACACCTGACCTTTGTTCACTCAGTGCGGGACCCCTGGGGCTCATTTCCCTTATGGCTCTCCCTGCAGGGCCGGCCGCACCCTGGGGGGAAGCTATAAGGCAAACTCACCACCTCTTTATGAAGGGCTGTGGGAATCATCCATATGTCAACCTTAATTCAGGGCTCAGGGTTCAAACCCTGGTATTTCAAATGCCAACTCCCATCAGCTTGCACAACCCGTTTTCTTCTAAAGTCATTGCCTGGTATGTAAACTCTCCCTTGAAGGTGATGAACTCCAAGTCTTAAAGCTTTTGGTATCTTTTGTAAAGCCAGTTACTTGCCTCTAAATGTCACAGAACCACCAGGTTGGCTATAATTATTTGATGGCCGTGATACATGTAAGAAGTTGCTATTTTTCAGCTGTAATGGTAAAAGTGCTTATCTTATAGAAGTGGCAAGAACTTAATGTCTCAGGAGGGTAATTTTAATACTGCTACTGTTCGCTGGTGTGGAGAGGAAGGATTTGAATTTCTAGAACATCCCATCTCATACAACAAATTGACTGTAGGAATTATGCTTTCTTCCTATATGCCTCTTAGAAAATATGAGGAGGGGATTTGAGGCAAAGGGATGCTCAGGATCTCAAAGCCCATGGCTTTTGTGTGGTTCCATTGTTCTGTTGTGCCAGGACTCCTGCACCAGCAGGATTTCCCCACTGCTTTCTCCCCCATGTTCCACATAGACCCAGCAGTAGAATGGGAAAACTAGCTGCAACCATTTGATACATTGTCATGTCTGGCATGGCACAAACTGCTTTATCTCTTGATGCTGAATTCATCCTCTGCAGAAGAAGGCTGACTCTCGTTCTGTGTTGTATTGTAAAGATACATTCATTAATGTTTCTAAAGCATTCAGAACTGTGACAGTGGGGTTATGTATAGTGCAAGTATAAAGCCAACTATCTTACTGTTTTCTGTGACTGTAATTTTTGTAGTAGACGTGCTGTGATTCAGAAGTGGAAGCAAGTCAATAACATCTTTTACATAAGATTTATGATTTAATAATTTTGTTGCTGGTGGTTGGACTAACTCTGCTGTGCCTTCATAAAGACTTTTTTGAGACTCAATTCACTTTTATAGCCTGGAGAAGGATTTAATTTTAGAAGTTTCAGTTGACAAAGACATGCTGTTGCTAGATATGTATTTCAGATCCTTGTTGTTGTACTCTATTTTTAAATTCAAGTGTTAGCCAACCTCAAGAGCACGCCCTGTGTTTATGCTGGGTTCTCTGCATCTGTGCTGCAAAGCTGAATTCTTCCAAGCCTTAGCACAAGGCCACCAAATTTACTTTTATATTTTTCCTATTTAATGAAGGGAAAAGCTCTAGGAAGTACTTTTCATTTTCACAAAATTAAAACTGGTCATAAAAACAATCCTCCTCCTTCTAGAGGTCTGCTCAGGCATTGGCAATTGTTAAGATGCTTGCCTATCAACAGCCACTCAAGAAAGAATTTTAAATGGTTTTGTGACGTCAGGGAGGCCCAAGAAAATACAGCCTGGTGCCAAGTTACCTCCATCATTGAAAGTACACAGTAAGAAATAGATAACACAGAAATAAAACTTTTGTGCAGTAGCTATCTCATGATATGCTCTAGCAACTCCAATAAGTGAGGTTGTCTGGTGTAGGAATAACTCAAGAAGATGAACTTTCAGATTCTCATTTTCTAATTTGTGATTAGTGAAAAGTCAGCCTGATCTATCTGGCATCCTGCTGTTTGGACAGAATGTCTGCGGGTAGCTTGGACCTTGCAGAGGGAAATGCCCTGACAAAGTTACAGCCTACAAAAGTGAACAGTTTCAGTATGATGGACAAAAAGCTGAATCTCTTGAATGAAAAGATGGACAAAATATTGCATTTTCAAGAAGATCTGACAGGCAAACTGCAGCGAATTAACAAAGGCATTGATGATGTAGAAAAAGGTATTAACAAACTAACAGTATCCCCAGCAGCTCCTGATGAGACAGATGCAATGAAAAAAGGCCTAAAGGTATCGGACAATACTCACCAGACTGATATCCAGAGCATATGCTCAGAAGTGTTGAAATTGATGAAAGCTGCCCAGCTGGATTCTCTGAAGCATAAGGAGAGGCTGGCAAAGATAGAGAAAAGAGTTGAAACACTGGATAAAGTTATGACACTTGTGGAAGAAGTGTTAAAAAACTCCAAAGTAGTGGATTTTATTCTCAAAGGCATTGTGCCCTGGAAGAAGGGGAGTCTACTGGAAATCCTTGTTGAGGTTGGTTTTGGTTTACTATTAATCATATTTCTTTTAATGAGGTAGCAAGGCTTTAAACCCTCATGCTGATTTCTTGTATAACGTGTAATTGACATTTTCCTTTGAGTATTTCTGTTACAGGCTACTGCTGTGACCTTTGAATTGCAAGGCTTTTAAGGCAGAGACAAGGGATCAAAACATGCCTTGCAGTCTTATGTCTGGGGTTCCCAAAGTATGCCAGGCAATCCTGTGACAAGTATGAGGAGTAAGTTGCTTCTGTGAAGGAAAATTCAGCTTCTACCAGTGCTTGAAGATCAGCAATGTCACTCAAGTTATTGACTGAATTGAGGCCCCATTGGAAAGTATGAGTAACACACTGGAAGCATCTTTTTTGGAAGAAGCTTCTCTTTTCTTCATTGAACATGAATACTGAACACAGTCCCAGTTACTAAAACTGGTGCTGACTTACGGTCATGTTACTGAGCAGATTTATATGTCTGTAGATATTTGAGTTGTCTTCAGCTACATCTTTGTGATCTGTAGATATTTGAGTTGTCTTTAGCTACATCTTTGTGATGAAACTGTGACTTCATCCAAATTGTTCACTCTTCAAATCAAACAATTCTTGTGTTTGCAATTTTTGAGACATGAATTCCTAAGCATTTTTTAATTATTGAAGACAGTGAGGGAGGAACAGGCAAGACCATTACATAGTTGATATGTTTTTGGAATTGATTAACCTTGTTTTTAAAAACATTACAGGTATCTGGAATTAGTTTTAGCAGATGGATTTTTTTCAGTTTTCACTGTGTGCTTGTATCCCACAGTGGAAAAGGAGGGTGGAAAATTGCAAGAGATACAATAGGTTTGTTCATTCCAAGAATTTCTTTCATTATAACGACGGGGCCACACTAGATGCTAGCATACTTTTTCAGGCTTTCCTGAGGGCTCGTCTGGTCTTATTTAATAGTGCCAGAAGCTGACAAGTGAGTGAGTCAGAAGAATTTCTAAAGAGTTTCCATCAGTATTGAGAGCAATAAATCATACATTGAGTATGTAATCAGTCTTAATTCTAGGTAGAGATGAAGCTTGTTGAACTGCTTACTTGCAGTGCCAATTTCAATTCTACAGATTTTTGGAGAAGTGGAAAAGGCTGATGTATTTTGGTTCAGGCTGCAATGTTGCAAGTTGCTGCCTGCAGTCGCTGTGAAATGCCTGGAGACAGATACAGCCCTTTGCAAGATTTACACCTGGAACTGAACTGGCAGTGCACAATATGTCAATGGCCAGATGAAGATGAGTGTAAAGATGATCAGCTAATTCAGTTTCCAAATTCTCAGTTTCTAAGTGAAGGAGCAATAAGGAGGGATGTAAGTAAAGAGAGGTGATGTGAGGAATAATGGAGGAATGTTTCCCATGGATTGCTAGCATACTGTCAGGATTTGGTGTCAGCTGGCAACTCTGCACTGCCTCCTCATCAGTGCTTGCACAAGAGGAAATTAGGGAGGTCAGAACTTCATCCAGGTTGTAAGGACAGGAGGGTAGAGACTGAGAGGTGAAATGACCTACTGTTAGTGGCCTGGTGGACTGGGATGGGGTGGAGGTCTGTGTCCCAGGCTCTAAGCACTGCCTCGGTTGTAGGGGAGGCAATGTGTTTTGGGCAAGTGAGAGTTTTATGACTAACGCTAGTTTTGCAATATGACCATCACTGATCTCCTTTTTTTGTTTCAAGTCATGAACAGGTTTTGAAATTGGAGCATAACATCTGGTGTAAGACCTTAAGATATGTCGGTACTTTGTTCATGGGCTGCTGAGTAATATTTGAACTAGTCTTGAAATAGTGAGGTAGTGTATGTATGTGACCTAGCTGAGGTAATGTGGAGCAAAGCATGGGTGAATTTAAAAACAAATTAGCTTGTGCAGAGCCATGTGCTACCTTTGCTCTTTTTTCTTTTTTTGCAGCCTGTTTAGTGATAGCAGTATAGACATATCCACAGAGCTCCACGGTTGCACATGAAAAGAATTTTGCTACCTACTTGTTTCTGTTTTGTGACCTTTGCTGTTTTGTAAGAGCGTGCTGCTTATCAGGGAGCTGGCTTAGTGCAAGGTTACTCAGTATGGGGATGGGAGTGGGGGGTCATGTTTTAATTGCTGGGTGAAGCTGTTTGTGATGGCATTCCAGGGATGCCATGGGAATGCTTGTGGAAGTTTTGTGGAGTTGGGGTCAAATTAATAAAACGGTATGAATTGAGCTGCATAGCATCCAGACCTTTTAACTTCTAGCTTAAAAAACAAACAGAAGGGAAACCATAAAACTGTGACTTACCCAAGGCTTTCTTTTTCAAGAATCATGTTCCCCCTGGTCATTGTTGCAGGTTTGCTTAGAGCTGTAATGAAAATGGTAATGATTTCTTTTACTACTTTTACTCTTTGGGTGTTTTGGTTTTTGGGAAGGGGGAGGTGGAGTGGCTCTGTCATGGAATCCATGGTTGGAACATGAAATCCTTAACTGTTTTTACTAATGGATGAAGGGGATGATTTGCAGCAGTCTTGTAATCAGCTATCTGCAGAAATATTTTAAATGTTGCTTATTTGCTTGTTCAGGTAAGGGGAGGAGGCTGCTTATCATGAGATTTTAACTACATGCCAACCAAGAAATATGTTATCCTTTTTCCTATTTTTGTGTAGTGTTTTTTGCTAAATATTAGTTGTTTGGCTATAGTTTGATTTCAGATGTATTGCTGTGTGTTTAGTGATGCTATTACAAAATACCCCTGCTCTGTGCTTTCTTGATGGGATGAAGAAATTTGCTTAAAAAGAAAAATCAGCTTCTAAAATACGAGTCTGTTTTTTAACCGTGCCAAAGGTGATAAGTGTAATCTCAAGTACATACATGAGAATTACTAAAAAAATAGCTCTTTTTTGATATCATTTCTATTATAGTTCAAGTAATGAATCTTTAGATGCCTTGAGACAAATATATTACTAATAAATTCAGATGCATTGCTTATCTTTAAGGCACCAGCCAAAAAGCAACAGAAATTACAGTATTTTTTTTTCTGGTATCTCTATTATGTTTCACAAGTCATGGTCAATATGAGTAAAGACTGCAGGAGGCAAAATCTGACAGTCCAAATTTTGGAAAGCAGTGATCTAATGTATTATTCTGTGTCATCTTCTTATAGAAGTATGCCTGTCTGCAAAAGCAGGGAGATTGGAAGAAGGGAATAAACACAACAGTAACCAAAAATTCAGAAGATCAAAGGTGTTAGTGTCCATTTTACAGACTCTGAATACCTGTATAGGTGGAGGAACCTGTTGGGAAATGAATAGTCTTGACCTTAACCGTTATTTTTGTGTTCCCCTGTCATTTTTAGGCCAAAGATAAGCCTGAGGAGAGCGGTGCAAAACCTAAGCATGTGCTTAGTAATAGAGGAACCCAAACTGAAAACAAGAAGCCTCTGGAAGGTATGTATCACTCCAGCCATGCTATAAGCTTTGATTCCAGAATGGGCAGCAGACAAACTGGAAATTAATAGCCTGCTATTTCCCACTACCTGAATTATTCAAATGTAACTGAGTAGCTTTGTCCACCGGTACTGGGGAAATAAGAGTTGTTCTCACCTCTGCAGGACGATCTGTCCCCCAGATCAAACCCTAAACTCCAGAAGATCAAGAAACTAGAAGCAGCACCTTTATTTGGCTGCATGTTTTTTTTCCGTTTTGCAATTAGTGAGCAGAAGTAGGAGAGTTGTATTTGTTCAGAGATACCACAAAGGTAGTGGCAATATCACATTGCAAATCTAATAAATTCTTTTCCCTTAATACATCTGAAACAGCCTTCCCTCCTCCCTCTCTCTGAAGAAGGGGTATGTTGACATAGGGCATATCTTTTTTTTGATCAGCAAGTTTCATTGCCATGTCAGGGCTAGATTCCTATTTAGGATGCATCTGTCAGGGCATTGCCCTGTTTCATCTGTTATTATAATGCCTGTGGAGTTGCAATAGGGGTGAACGTGATGTTGAGCAGGCCCTGTCACACTGTTGTCTTCACAGATTGTCAGTGAATCCTTCTTGTACTTATGGGTGATTCCCTTTTTAGCTTCATCATTTAGGAAGTGACAGAAACAAAGCGGATGATCACAATTCTGACTCGGAACCTACATGGTGTTGTGAACTAATCTGGATTGCCAGTGACCTGGGCATGCTGAATCCTGAAAGAAGGATTAGAAACTAAGAAACTTCCACTGTTAATATTCATGGCTGTTGTCATGAGGAGCTGCTGAAGAACCTTCTTGTCCTTTTGTGGAAAATGCAGTAGATGCTGCACTGTCTCAGGCCTCTGGGTCCCTTGAAGTCTTACTCAGTGTGTCTCTGACCCTCTGATCATTGGGGGTGTATCAGGTTCAGGAGTGGCCTGGATGGGTCTGCAGTGCCTGAACTACATATATTTGCCCACAGAGTGATTTCAGATTCTAGATGCAGTGAGCTTAAGCCTTGCAGTTTTTCATTTGCTTTATGGAAATCCAAGTTCAAATCTGTAACACTGCTGGGAAGCCAGCAGAGCAGTTAAACCTCTGATTAAGCCATGAACATTAATAATGGCTGTCTTGAACTTGCTGGTATAAGGATTTAAAACATTTTGTGTGCTTTCTTGCTGTCTTTTCAAGTGTATGTAACTGTGTAGGTTATTTTGAATGGTGGGTTACTTTATTCCTTCTCTGTTTTGCTGTCACTTTTGCCAATGATAGTTTATTAATGACTTATTTTGTTCAGAGACAGAAAGTGGGAAAAAGCTGGATGAAAAGGAAGATTATGAGAAGTTGAACACTTCTAGCACTGCAGCCCACAAAGCTGACTCCAAGCCCCAAGCTAAAGAAAGGACAGCACAGCAGCAAGTAGTAGAAGGTGCTGGCAAAACACACAGTTCTAAGAGCTGTCAACAGCAAAAGGACATGGGTGTCAAAGCTTTGAATCAACACAACGGTCTTCCCTTCCTAAGTCAAGATCATGTAGGCACCCAGAATGTTCCTGCTAAAGCACACGATATGGACAGAGCCCCACACCTAGATAAGTGCCAGCTTGTTCAGAAACATGGAGAGAATGAAAACAAACCACCATCGTCAAGAGTGGCATCCTGGGAAGCCGTGCCTTCCACATCCCAAGCCATATCTGACACAGGGTGTGAAGTGACACATACCAGGTAACGGCCTTGTTGGTAGCTTTTTGTCTGATCTGAAACCATTTCATGTGTCAGAAGGAGAAAGAGGAAAGCCAGGTCATTAAAGGAGGCAGCTCCTGCTGAGGCATGATTCAGGGGAAGAACAGCCATGCTAGGATAAGTGTGGTGAGACCTTCCACATGGTTAAAGCAAAAAACTCTTCAGCAGCAAGGGCCCTGTGTAAATTTCTGTGAAGGCAAGGAGTTGGAGGGCTAGATGTATGGGAGACTTTTTTAGTATGATCAGGGCTTAGGGAGAAAGGTGATCGTCCAAGTATACCTCAAGTAGCTGGACATTTATAAACTACTTAATCCCAATTCCTCTGTTTCTATAACCATGGGGGTGAAAGAAATTTGAGATATTTACTAGTACATGACAAAACCAAACAATTTGTTTCATTTGTTGTCCTTAGGTGATTTTGTGGGGGTTTTTTATGCCTTGGTCACCTAAAGATATGACTAGATTTTAATGTGTTAGTCTCCATTAGCCTAACCTTTTCCTCCTGTAGGTGTTTGTAGTATGCCTTTCATAATCAATTTCCTTTTGAATTATTTATTTACAATTTGATTTTAATGCCTTTTATTTATTTAAATTAAAAACCCACACACAATTAAAAAAAAAAATCACCAGAAAAAAACCCACAGCCAAAAAAAGCTCTACCACTCAAACCCCAACACGTGGGAATTCTGTGGCAAATTTTATCTGCCATGCTTTCCCTGTCTGGACTGTGACTATAAATTTGTTTACATATGTGTATATATATATATATATATCTATGGATGACATCTATAGACACACTGACATGTACATACACACACACATGTTACTTTGTGTGTGGAGTTTCCTCATTGTGTGTGTATACAAGTGGGTGTCTGAAGCCCAGACAACAACATGACATTACTTTTGTTTGTGTACTTTAATCTGAAAACTTTGAATTTGTAGTGGTACTTTTGAGTATATGATGGATATTTAAATTTCCCGTGCTATGAGTGTCTACTGTGATTACAGGACTCTTTAAAAAAAAAAAAAAAAAAAAAAAAAAGTGAATAAAGAATAAATGAGTAAAACAAAAGTTGTCTTGCTGTCAGCAATCAAGCTTCAGGAGGGAAAGGGCTCATTGCAAAGACTGGCACACTGGATGTTTTTATCCTAAGAGGCTGAGTGTGAGGATGTGGCAGGAGAAAGAAGCTTTCACTATTGTGATCTCTTTTCAAACATTCAGGAACAACTTTGTGTTGTTTATAGACACTGCTACCTCCAAACTGGCTGCTGTAATAACACTAAAACCAGAGAGACCTCCCTGTATTTTCCCTGTGGCTTGTAGTCTCTGGCTGATGAACTGTAGGCTGGAGCAGGTCCATCCCAGCTGCCTGCCAGAATGCTGCCTTGGAGGCTCTGCCTGTACTGTGCTTTGAGGATGGCTCAAGGTGTTTCTGAAGTGGAGGAACTGTTACACCTTGGAAGTCCGTACTGGTTGACCATGATGTGCCAGCTGGTGAACTTGGAGATAGGCAGCAGCTTCTGAAACAGCTGATTTGTTTGGGCAGGGGGTTGTCTGAGCCCCAGAGTCTGTGGTTTGGTGAGGAGGAAGGATGTGAGATAACTGGAAGGTGGAACTTAGGGCAAACCCCAGGGGAAGTTGCAGCTTTCCTGACTGGGGTTCCTGTAATGCTTTTGTGTGTGAAGTCACATGAGGGTGGTAAATGCCTCTCTTAAAATGAATGCAACTCTTAGTGAAGTGTCTAAGACCGCACAGAAGCATTGAGAGAACATTTTGTTCCCCTGCTTGGAGAAATGCCCAAGGGTCCTGCTGAGTTCAGGCTTGTCTGGATAGCAGTGGAAGTGTTTACTCAGAGCTGTGTTCAGCTGCTCTGGTAGCTTGATCCAATGCAGCTTGGATTCATAGCACAACACAAGGGTGTTAGTAGTGCTGAAAACCAGAAACCTCAGACTCTTGTTGTGCTAAAACAAACTTTTTTTGTAACATCTTTTGTAATAAGGTCACTCCACCAAAAGGCAGTAACTTTTGTGAAAATTAGGTACATTCTTTCCTCAACATCAGAAATTTTCTGTATTTGCTGATGTATAAAACCTACTTTGTAGCTTCACAAGTTTCAGTTCAGCCTCACTGAAGTCAGACTTTGTGCTCATGACAGTTGAAACAGGAAGAGTTGACTCAAAAATTATCATGTCTATGTCTTTGGATTTTAGGAGCATAGAGAATTGGTTTTAAACAGTATACTTTTTAGGCAACACAAGAGGAAAGAAAGTTATTAAACTTTTCTAGTAGCTACAATGTTAAGGAAAATAATGAAAGAGTTTATAGAAATCACATCTTTAACAAAAAGCTGTGGCAAGAGTGCTGTCCCATCAGAAGACACAAACATGGATGTCTGAGCGTGCGAGTCAGCCAGCTGGAACAGGACTGGGGCGGATACAAACCTTTGGATTTGTAGAGCCATAAGAGCAGTCAGCCATTTAGGTAGATCAGCCTGTAATTTGTGAAGGCAATCTCTGCCCAGATAGTGGTATTTTATTGTAGTAGTTGCAAAAGCAAGTAAGCCTTCAAATGTGGGATTAACACTTTGCAGTGTTAGATGTTCTGTGTTCAGCAGAAGGCAGGCATATATACAGAAGAGGACACAGAAGGAGCACCAGCATGGTTTTTTATGCTTTTCCCTTATTGCTGTGAATATTTCCTTAGACAATTGGTAGAGTTAGATTTCTTTAATACGATAGAAATCTGTGGGTTTGGAAGTCTGTAGATTTTTCTTCCCCCCACAAAGTTAAAGCAGCAAGGCTAATCATCTGCATAAAATGTCAACTGTTTGCTCTGCAGGATGTCTATCAATATACATATGACTGAAGTAAAAGAGAAGATTGAGATGACCAAGGAAGGAAACTTGAATGATCACAAATGTAAAAGTCCCAAAGTAAAATCCCCATCCTCCACACCAGCAGACAAGGAGGGAGTTGAACAGCTGCCTCCCAAATTAAAACTTCAACAGCATCCTAAAAACATCAGCCCAGAGCTAAATCAAGAAGTTAAAGGGGACAATAAGCAAAATGAACTTGTACCTCAAACAGGGAAGCAACAGCCATTACTGAGCAATTCCAAAACAGGTAAAAAGGCTGAAGAGAAATCAGAACTGAAATGCAAGCCCATAACCTCACAAAAGAATATCTCTGCAAAGGAGCCTACAAAAGATGTGGAGGTAGGAGTAAAAATCCATCAAGAAATGGCAAAATCAGAAGAATCCCTGACACGTACCAGCTCTGAGAGGAGTGAATCTGAGTCTGCATCTTCAGGGGGAAATGGAACCGATGCTCAACAGTGTACAGGAGTGGCACCAGAGAAGACTAAGTCATTAGAAGCTAGCAAAGAGCTTCCCACATGGGATGAAATGATCATTGGTAAGTTGCTTATAGTTACTCTTGGGAGCTTTGATGTTGAGGATCTTGTGCTACTTGTGTGAAATGTACAGTAGTGGCTGGAGTGGTGCTCAGTAGACCGCCTGTGTCTTAGACAGTTCAAGAGCATTTTGCTGTGGCTGTATTTGACCATGTAAATGACAAGTGAGTTAACATTTGTACAAATTCTTTCAATAGTAATTCTCCTTTTAAAGTGTGTTTTGAGGAAAAAAGTTACTTTAAAATAAAATTGAGTGAAGTATATGTGTGGTCAGAAGGACGAGTCATTTTTACAAAACCCTCCAATTTGTTTTAGATTAAGGACTTATTCCTTAAGATAGAGTATGCAAAGCAGGTATGCTTTAGCAGCTATGGACTGGTTTTACTGAGAACTGTTGCTGCATATCAGTGCTGTGTATTTGTTCTGGTCTTTCTAGCTGCCATGTAATGATTAAAAGAAGATAAGTAAGTTTTTTCAAACTTTCAGAATTTTTCTTTTCAGGTGACCTCTGCTGTTAATGCATAAACTAGGATGTTCATCTTATATAGGTGTTGTCCAGTGGGTTTACTGTGTTTTAAAAAGCAAACAAATGAACAAAGGAAAACAAAACAGGGTTGAGATTCAGGAGAAGGGATCCTATTATCAGTTCTGGGCCTTTATTCCTCATCTCTAAAAGGGTGTTAGCAGTAGAAGTTCCTCACCTGAAGTAGAGAGAAGTGTTAGATATTTTCAGTACCTCCCTTCTTATGGGTAGCTGCAAATGCAATAGTTATTTTACTTGCATGTCACTTTAAAAACAGTGAAAGAATCATGTGCCTAATGTTACCCAGATACTTCAGTTCTTGTCTGAATTCCAGTAGAAGAAAAAAGATGGCATGGTAGAGGAACACACGGCAAAGAGAAAAGATAGGAGAGAGAGCAGTTCACTTGACACTGAAGTTCTGGTTAACTAGCAACTTAACGGCAGCAGTCAGAGCGGGGCTTGTCCAGGAGCCTGTGTTTGCTCCTGGTGCTTCTCTGTTAGAGCCCCAGAAGCATTCTGAAGGTTCATTCCTTCAAGGAACAGTGATGCCAAACGTGGGGGAACCACGAGAATATGGTCCTATGGAGCTGTGGATACTGGGAGCATGGAAGGCAGTTGAGGCATCTTGTTACACTTAGCAAATACAGAAGGGTTATGTATGTGTCCTGCGGATTGAAACCACTGGTGTGAAGAGGGTGAAACTGAGCGCAGTGGTGTGTGCAGGAACATCTCGATGACCGCCTTGTCTTCTCTGTAGATGACAGCCCTTCTCCTCCAGCTCCTTTTGAACATCGGATAGTGAGCGTCAAGCAAACAGAGTTGACAACATGCTACTCGGTGTGTCATCACGAAGTACTGGGGGGGTAAGTGTCGCTGTCCCTGATGCTGTACTGCTGTTGGTAGCTGAAGCATGGAGAAACACAGTTAGCTGGAGAGTTAGAGCGGTCTTCCTCAGATGGCCCCAAGCTGTGTATGTGGGTGAGGCATGTGAGTGAGCAGGTTCATCCTTGAAACCTGCTAGGCTGTCAGCGTTGTTGGGTTCCTTATATCAATGTCCTGTTGATTTGAGTGTGTGTAGGGGCGATGTCCCTTAGATGACTGGTTTCTGCCCCAATTCCATTGTCAGATGCCTGACTGTAATCTTGGCTGACTGTTTTTTGCATTTGTTACAATAATCCTGGCCACAGCTGGTGTCATGAGAAAAACCTGTACCCTTCAGGAAGGCAAATTCAGAACACCTTAAGTCAGCCAAGCCCATTAGGTCAGGCAGCTTTCAAAATCTTTTTTTTTTTTCTGTGCTGAACTGCACATTAAAGAAAACTAAGGGAGAAGTTATAATTATTTTGACCTTACTTTTAGTTTTCACTCTTAGGAAGTCCGCAGCTGCTTCAGCCTTTGTATTCTTTATCCTTACTTATCTGACAAGGTGGTTTGATATACAGGTTGATCCAAGTACAAATATGGCTTAATCAGTGTAAGCAGTGGGATGCAATAGCAGAGGAGACAGTGTTTAGAAATCATCCCGAGGGGCATTAATCTGGGTGACATGGGGGAGAATTTACAACACGCAAGAAATGCAGTCTGTGGAGTGGCTACAGTTACTGGTCTTGCAGTCATTTAAAAAGTTATGAGATCAGGACAGAAATATCCTTGTTAATATATCCACTAGCGCATCACTGAAGGACAGCCAGTGGGTACGGTTACAGAACTGAGAATCAGTATCATCAGGTCACCGGACCGCAGTGAAATGTGGCGATACGAAGGGGGCATAATGTTTTAATGTAAGCATTGAACAGCTGGCTGGAAAGATAAAACTAATCCTTCACAAGCTGAGAGAAAGAAGAGATTCATGCTGCTGGCCACCTGATTCTGTTCGCTTTGTACTGTGCTATTTTTAATTATGGCTAAGAATAGCCGTCGGAGAAGTTTCCGCGGTGAGCTGTGTTAAGCTGGTTTCCCATCTTTCCCTTGGTATCGACAGGGGGCGTTTTGGGCAAGTTCACAAGTGCACGGAAATATCAACGGGTCTCAACCTGGCAGCCAAAATCATAAAAGTGAAAGGAGCAAAAGAGAAGGTAACTATGTTGCTGAGAACCCAAGTGAGCACGGGCTAAACCTGGCCTTATTGCAAGCGTCCTGACAGCACTTCCCTGAATCAGCCCATAAGAGACAGCTTGATGTTGAGTAGTATCAAATACTGTAAAATCTGTTTTACCAAGTAGCATCTTAGATGTTATATGACTGTTTGTCATATCCCGTGTTTGTGATTAAACCTTCTGTCCATGTGAGAAGGATGTTATTCTGTTATTTTAATGTAAAACCCTGTTATTGAGTTTTACAAATAACTGTATTTCAATATATAGAAATTTAAGGGGCATATTTTGCTCATTTTTTGTTCTTTTGTTACTTTTCCAGGAAGAAGTAAAAAATGAAATTAATGTCATGAACCAATTAAATCATGTGAATCTGATCCAGCTTTATGATGCTTTTGAAGCCAAAAATAATATCACTTTGATCATGGAATAGTAAGTTTAAATGATCTCAGGATTTGTCATGTGTTTGGGTTTCCTCAGCTCACTAAAGGAAATGGGGAATTTAGGTTGATACATAATTTCACACTCAGAAGTAAGTCTGTTGAAGTAGTTGAGACTAGTGATGTATTTTATATTTGATGTGTTGTTAAGACCCTTGCTAAAATTACAGAATCATTTTGGATGGAAGAGACCTTTAAGATTGAGCCCAAATGTTAACCAATCACTGCCTGGTCACTGCTAAGCCATGTCCCTCAGCACCACATATAAACAACTTTAAATCCCTCCAGGGATGGTGTCTCCACCACTGCCCTGGGCGGCCTGTTCCAGGCCGTGACAACCCTTTCTGCGAATATTGTTTTCCTTACATCCAACCTAAACCTCCCCTAGTGCAACATGAGGCTGTTTCCTCTTGTGCTAAGTTAGAGAGCCTAAGTTCACAACTTGGAAATAAATAGAGCTAATGAGGAATTTAAGTTTTTAAACACTTTTCTATGTCAAAATTTTAGTCTTGATGGTGGTGAATTATTTGACCGGATCACCGATGAAAACTACAATCTAACTGAGCTGGATGCAATCCTATTTACCAAACAGATTTGTGAAGGAGTCCACTACTTGCACCAGCATTATATTCTCCATTTAGATCTGAAGGTCAGTAGTTCATACTCTGTGCTCTTTAGCAATGTTGTGGTTTGGACCACCATGGAGTCCCTAATTACAAGACTAATTTCTCTTTTCATGGGCTTATGTCATAAAGGAATAGACTTAATTAAGCAGCCACAATGAATGGAACTCTAGAGATTCATTGCTTGTTTTTTTCAATGTCTGTTTGATAGCTTGCTTAGAATAGTGAAATGAACAGGATTCTGTGCTTTCACCTCTCTTAAATCAGAAGCTTTTCATTCTGTGTGTAATTAAACAATGCCCTTTTGTCATCAATGGAAAGAAATGCAGTAAAATGACCATGTTTTCCTAACTGCACCTTAAAACCTGATCTTTTTGAACAGAAATACAAACTGTTTTTTTTTTTACGCATGTTTATACAGTGCCTTACACAAATGGCAAAGACTGGGTTGCCTCATAGGTGGTTCTGCAGTTGTAATAAATTTGGATGCCATTGTGTATGTCCCCCCCCCCATCGCTACCTTGAAAAATATTCTCATTGGAATGTGGGCAAACCAAAGGATGCATTTGACATGTTTCTTGTGGGTTGTTATGGAGTTGCTTTTATACTTGAGTAAATCCCCTTGGGTAAGCCTCAGCCATCAGACTGTCTCTACCATTTTACACGGGGGAGCCTTTCCATTTCAAAAATCTGTTTGTCATCAATGGTAAAACATAGGAATATTGTTTTACAGGCATAGAAGTTAGTCCTTCATGGGAGGTCCAAAACAAAACCCTTCACTAACTCGGCGTGCCAGTCAAATCCTCCTCACTTGATAGGATACAAGGAAAAGTATTATACTAAAAATTGTCATTAAAATCCCTGAGATTTTGATATTCTTTTGCCAGATGTGTCTCAAACAGTCATACATTCAACCCTTTTCTCTTTTTATAGCCTGAAAACATACTATGTGTAAGTCACACAGGAAACCAGATTAAAATTATTGATTTTGGATTAGCAAGGAGGTAAGAGAGTTCAGTTATGACTTTATTAAAAACTAAAAAAAAACCCATACCAAACCCAAAAATCTCTGACATGTTTTTTTGGTAGATCTTGTGGGATTTTTTTAATGCATTTTGGTGGCTGTGAAAGAATTCTGCTATGTGAGTGAGCTAAACAGTATGCTGCTGCAGGCATGAGTTTTCTGCTCTGTGCATTAATTATCTAATGACTTTTCCAAATTACATTTCTGTTGGATAAGGCTATACTGCTGTTCTAATTACCTCAAAATTATTCCACATGTAGACCTTTTACTCTAGGGGCTCCATAAAGTCTCTCAGAGACTTCTTGACTGCTGGTTTTATTGTACAGGTTCTAGTTGTGGAAGTTATCTGCTAAGCTCTGGTGGTATGTTCACCTAAATCATAGAATGATAGAATACTAGGTTGGAAGGGACCATCATCTTGTCCAAACTTTCTTGAGAAAATCATGGCCTGGATGAGAAGGCCTAACACTCTGTCCAACCCGAAGTCGCAGCAACACTCACCAATTTATTCTTTAAAGACTTTAATGCTGTCCTGGTTGCCTGGGGAGCCTGCCACGCTCGCACTGCCGTGCTCACACAGCAGAAAGCCATGCCTTGATTTTTACAAATGTGAGGTGTTCCCCAGCCTGCTCTCAGCACTCATCTCTCTCTCTCTTTATGGTAAAGGTACAAACCTCGTGAGAAATTGAAGGTTAATTTTGGAACTCCAGAGTTCCTGGCTCCTGAAGTGGTGAACTATGACTTTGTTTCCTACCCAACGGACATGTGGAGTGTAGGCGTCATCACATATATGTTGTGAGTAACCCCATGAGAGGCCGTGGTGATGGCACCAGTGGCTCTGCAAGAGCACACCAGTGAGGAGTAAGGCACCAGCCACTGAGCCCACCTGGCTGTGTCTCTTCCTAATTCATTCTTTTGAAAACCTCAACCTTTAATGCTAAGGCACCTTGATGTGTGTACGGTCTCTAAAGAACAAACAATCAACGGATCAACTCTTTTTCTACTCAGAAAAGTTGCCCACAGCATTTTCAGAATTTTAATTTTCATTGCATTCTTGAGGACTTGAATTAATTTTCAGATTTGCAGTCTGATCATTTTAGCAGCTTGGACTTGGTGTGTGTCTGCACAGAAAAAATAATGTTGGGTGTTAGGCTGCAGGTCTGAAAAAATGTCACATGACACATATCAGAAAAGTTTTAGCTCAGTCTGGATGGCGGCCACGGATGGCTTGTCTGTCCAAAGTCTCTGCCTTCTGATAAGCTTTGTATCCCAGAATCTTTCACTGATGCTTTCTGTGAAAGCTATGGATACCTTTCTGGTTTAAGTTTGTGTACTAGTCAAAGCCCAAGTGAACTAAATAATAAAGGACTGAAGCAATAAATCTGGTCTTAGACACTATGCTGTTGTTCAGAATTCTGTTGATTTTGAGCCAAATATGGATATAGGCCTTGGTTTAGGAAAGCTCTTGAGTCCCCCTAGCCTTCCTAGCTGGGAAAGCACCCACGTAGGTACCTCTGAATTAACTTCCTTGGGGATCTGTTAACAGTGCTCCCTGAGACAGCTGAGTGAACCCCTAGAGAGCAGCACTAACATTCCTGTGCTTTATTGCCCCAAACTGTTGGTTTATCTTGGCCGGGATTGAGAAGTGGAACACCCCCCCATGGCTAACAAGAATTGTTAGCAGAGGATTTATAGAAGCAAAAATGCACCTTGCATGTAATAACTACTCATCTCTCTCCCTTTTTTTTAAAAAGACTTAGTGGCCTGTCCCCATTCCTGGGAGAAACTGATGCAGAGACAATGAATTATGTAGTCAATTGCAGCTGGGATTTTGATGCAGAAGCATTTGAGCAACTATCAGAGGAAGCTAAAGACTTTATTTCCAGACTACTTGTGAAGGAGAAAAGGTACCTCTTTGTCCGAGTGTGATGACAGTAGCACCTAATGACATTGTGTTCCTCCTAACCTACTGTTTGGATTGCTACCAGAGATAAGGTAGTATATTATATATTTCTATACTATATCTGTGCTTGCTGGGCAGTTTCTCAGTGATTCAAAGGCCTCTATTTGAAAGGAAAATGTCTGTTTCCCTCAACTGAAGAAAGTTGCTTTTCGCAAGTAGCATCAATACAGGCAGAACTCAGGAAATCTGGAAGGATTTGCTATGTAGGAATCTCTTTAGTAATCCTTTTCTGAGCAAAAGCTATTTCTGTTGTTACTTTGGATCCTCACAAGCCCTGACACAAACTGCAAAAATGTCTTGATTGCCATGAAGGATAAATAGAAGCTGCAGCTGTGAAAATGTGTGTTGTTCTCTTCTAAAATGGCCTGCATGCAGTTGCCAGATACTCAGAAGCATTCGGGACTTGACTCTGCATATTGCTTCTCAGTCTTGGCTCTACTGAAATAAAAAGCGATTGCACATATGAAACAAGAGGAGAGAATGAGGATGATATTGATGTAGACTATGGCTTCACGTGAGGTTGGGTGAGTGAGCAGAGAAATTGTTCTCTCACGGAGCAGTGGTACAAAATAATCAAGGAATGATGCATACCATAAAACAGATTGTGTATGAGAGGAATTCAAAGGAGTACTTAGAATATTAACAACTTGCAGATCATTACCTAAATCAGACAGACAGTTCTAGTACTAAATACCTTTTGAACAATAAGTCATATGAAAAGCTAACAATAAACTGAACTTTTGCATATTGCCAGCAGGAGAAAACAAGGCTTTTTTCTCAGATGGTGGTGATGATTTGCTATGAGGCTGTAAACTTTGTTTCAGAGTCTTCCATTTTTCTGTGCAATGGGAATAGGAACTCCAGAGGGACACTATGCAAAGTCTGGTTAGAAGCTGTGAATGAAACAGCTATGATAAAAATGTGTGGTGGCAGTGAAATGAAAAGAGTAATGACTAGTTGGCCAAGGAGTTCACAAGGTATATGGACAAACTGCTCTCCTGCAGACTGGGCACCTTTGCTATGCTGGGACAGTCGGTCTGGCCTTGTGCAAGGTCTGTGCCTACCTCCTCTGACTGCTGAAATCGTGTGCAAGCAGGCAGGAATCTTCTTTTCATCATTTTCTCAGTGACAGCTCAGACAAAGCTCAGGAGTTAGGCAAAGGTTTTTCTTTTGAAAAAAAGGCAAATTAATCTTTTTTCCTCAACACCTCTCCAGGTTTTCCTCTATTGTCATATATTTCTTAAAGCTTTTTTGATAGGCTTTCACATTTGTTCCCATTGTTGAATATCAGGATATATGTTCGGTGTGACCCATGTTTAGGGTGAATAGCCAATTGTGCTTTTTAAATGTGAGGCACAGAATAAACCTGCACTATCAGGGCAGACAGACAAGTATTTTTCTGTATGCACTGTTTCTCATAGCAAACTCCTGCATTCACATAACAAAAGTGATAAATTAACGAACCTGTACAGCTGCTTCTTCAAAGAAAAAAACCCACCACACCCCAAACCAAACCCTGAGAAGGTAAATACAGTACTTAACCACAGCTCAGCCAACCCACTGCAGACCCACCAGCAGTTCTTCACACCACTCAGCCCTTACACTGGAGAGTTCAGGATGTCATTAGGATCCTATGCACTGGGATGAACAGCAGCTTGGGAGGCAACTCCACTCACCGTGGCAGTTCATTTAAGGCAGTCTTTGTATCAGTCATACTGATAAGCACAGGACACAGAGGAAAGGGCAACGAGGGCTGCTGGATTTACGTGGCACCTGTCCTGTCCCACAGCTGCCGGATGAGTGCGACGCAGTGCCTGAAGCATGAGTGGTTAAGCAATCTACCTGCTAAAGCCAAGAAGTCCAAGCTTCGCCTGAAGTCCCAGTTGTTGCTGCAGAGTTACATGGCTCACAGAAAATGGAAGGTAAATAGACAAAATCTGGCAAATCTACTTCCAGAGGGAAAATCAGCTCAGCACAGGCAGAGCAGTTCCCTCTTTTCTTGTATGTTGGCTCACTTTTGCCCACAGGCTTCCTTGTAGATCTGAGTTGGGGAAGTCTATTTTCAGTTGTAAATTAGTGTGGTGTTTTGTTTTGTGGGTTTGGTTTTTTTTGGTTGGTTGGTAGTTTTGTTTTTTTTTTTTCTCCTACAGAATGATATTGCTTCCATTTTTAGCAAATTTAGTTTAAATTTTTACTACTTTTGATTGCTGCTCAAAAGCTTTACTTTTTTTTTTCCCTTTGCAAGTTCAGAAACTTCAGGTGCTACTTAGCGCTTATATTAAACATTCTTTCTCTTTATATTGGAAAGATTTCTCCATGGACAACAGGTGCATTACTTTGTTGCCACTATGGAGTAGGGATATAATGGAAGGCAGTTTTGTGAGTCCCCTTGTGGAGAGTAGAAGGGAGGGAGAGAAGAAACAAGGAGGCTTAAACCCATCCAGAGAACTCTCTGGGACCTTTCTGATAACCCCATGTCCCTTCAGAACTAAATTTTATGGGAAGAAGTTGTAGATAAGAATTTCTAGTGGAGTGTCTTGGATTATAGATAATCTTGAAAGGTGAACAAAGTGATCTTGTTACAAAGAAGCCTGTGGAAATGTGATGAAAACTCAGTGAGAACCATTTCCTTTTTATTTGTCAGTGAAGAGCTGTAATTCCTTGCTAAGGAGTTAAACCAGAAACTTACACTTTTTCCACTTATACATTCCAGTTATTTGGTTGCAGACTTCTGCACTTGCATGTTAAAAAATACATAATCTCTAGATGTATCACTGTAGAATTTGTAATAATGCTGCAGAAGTGGGAGCTGCAGTGAACTGTGAAGCACCAGCATTCTGTTCTGCAGTTGTCCGTGGTTCCCCAGTAGAGAGCTGTTCTGCACTGCAAGCCACACAAGATGTGGGTCACTAGAGGTAAAAAGGTCCTTCATCTCAGTTGCACTCACTCCAGGATTGTTCTGTTTTGTTCACAGAAACATTTTTATGTAGTGGCTGCTGCTAACAGGCTCAAGAGATTCCAGAGTGTGGCTGTCAAGCTTGTGTAAGTTTGTATGAAGCATCTGCCACTCTAGGAGACAGACGTGAAGCCATGGAAAAAGGACTCAGGATCTTGAGTAATTTGTATCCCTTCATTTTATACCACAAAGGTTTAGGTCTGTCCTCCTGAGATACTATGTGTGTTAGTGCTAAGGTTCCAGAAGTGCCTTGAGGAAAGTAATTTCTAAAAGCAGAAGCTACTTTCTTTGTTTTTACATGTTTTCAGTTGTTGTACATAGTGATGGAAAAACATGGCTGTTATTGGGGCTGACTTCTTGCTGAAGGCTTTGATTCTGCAGAGTATTGCTGATGTCTTTACACCAGAAAACAGTGTCAGTTTCCTGGTTTCTCACACCAAGGGTGGGATCTCTACTGATTTTCTCCATGACTGGTGCATGCCATCCATTTTAGAGCACTGCCACAACAGTGGCACATTTTCTCTCTTGGGTGTTTGTTACTTAGATCAAAAGATATCAGATATCCTTTTCTTTTGTTATCTTCTCAGAAAGAGTAATTATTAACACCCCCCCCCCCAAAACATAATGATCCACTTCATCAGCTCGGGGTTGAATGGTTTTGGTTTGTTGGGTTTTTTTATTCTACTCCCTCCTTTAAAAAAACAGCCACTGCATAGTTAGGAGGTGTGCAGAATCCTGCTTTGAAGCAACTTGAGTCAGTGCATCGCTGCTTTTCGTTACAGTGAGTTGAATTGAGCTGAAATAATTGAACTCTTGGAAGGAGATGTGTGAAACTGCCACAAATAAGAATTGCCTAATGACAGTTGGGTCTATGCAAAAAGATCTTATATCGTCCAGAGAAGGAATTTCTAGCCATTGTTTTATATGTATTTAAAACTTCTAAGGGCTTTTCGTTGGTTGTGACTGCAGCCCTTAATTTTATAAATTTTAGTTTGATGTTTTTTTCTCCTCTTTGACTATTTTAATGAAATCTGAGAAGTTGATATCGTATGATATGCAAAATGGGTTTTATTGCTGACCAGTGGCAGGAAAACTGTTTTTCCAGATTCTGCCTTTAGCCCTGCTAGGAGGTTGAAGCCTTTTTTCCCCACTTTGCTTTTGAACATTCAATGTTTTCTCCACAATACTAACTTACTTTGGACTTCAAACTTTTTCCTGGTGTATAAAGAGTTCGAGGCCCTTACAATCTCTCAGCTAGAATTATATTATTATTTATTAAACCTGTGATTTCCTTTACTGGTGTTCCAGGTTCTGCAGAACTCATTTGAGCTGGATGGGCTCATAGGAAAACCAGAACTAATGCTACTAGAACTAGCTTTCCAGCAAAGGCATCAGACCACTGTAAAGCTCCCTTTAACTTCATGCACTTTCACATCCCTGGAATTAGCAAAAGTGTTGGTTGCTAATAAGGAGGTTTGTAGGATTGGCTTACCCTGTTCTAGTTATCTTCTCCACTCCAGTGCTTCTCACTTTGCATAGTCCTGAATTCTGGACTTCTGTAGCATTTCCAGAATGGAGAGAGTGAATTATTAAAATCAAGTGAAATAATCTTGACAATGGATCACCTTCTGTGAAGGCCCACTTTTGTTCATGTTTTCCTTTCACAGTGGTTCTGCATGCTAAATGTGATTATAATATCTGTATATTTCTGAATTAATACTAATAAACTTCATTGAGGTGGAACAAGCTGATTCCTCCATTTTGGTTTAAACTCCCCTGTCAAACAAACCTGAAAGCATCTCTGAGTAGGTCTTAACAACAGAATGCTAATGTACTAGGTTGGATTCTCTCCCAGCCTGAGGACCCTCAGCTATCTATTAGATCAGACTTTAAATGGCAGACATTTTGTTACAGCTCTTACTAAATGTGGGTTAATTTTCCACTATTTTCTCTGCACATCAGGCAGTTATTCCGAGTCCATTGTGCAGTCCCAATAGTTGCTGTTACATTTCAGAACTGTCATCTGGAACGAAATTAGCTCTTACTAGTTAAGAGCTGGCTTCAAGTAATGCCTTTTTCTGTGCATTGGGAGGAGAAGAAATGAACGGAAAATGGCCAGTAAGTTTTAATTTTCCAGTTACTGTGTTATTCTTCCTCTATTTTTGTAAGAGGGTAAGACACAGATGCTCTCTGCTGTCTTGTATGTATTTCCTTTCCATTTTCTACAAATAGAAGGTGCATGTGGCCAGCAGGGTTACTATTTTGTTCCTAATAGAAAGAATTCCCTTTAGATTTGGCAGCCATCACATGGTTCTGCAGCACAGTGAAACCCACCCCTGAAGCCTTATGACATGCTTCACCATGTCCTGTGTATGCAGCTTTGGGGTCCACAGAAAAGCTCAAAGAACACAAAGGTGACCTGTGAGCCACTGGAACAGTAATTATGCAAAAAGAACCGGCCCCATACACTGATCTCTAAAGCAGTTAATGGTACCAACTCCCATAATTGGGGTGCAGTCAGTGTCCCCCAGGAAGGCAGGGAGTATGCACACCAGTGACGCATCTGGCGAGCCTTTCAAATACTGTTAAGAAGCTCAGATAGAAGCAGTGTTTCAGTCTAAATGCACAACATGAGATAATTTAATCTTGCTTCACATGGACACGTGGGGTTTTCTGGGCTGTTTTGAAATGAGGGTTTATGAAAGTTATCTTTGCATAGGCTAGGCAGAAAACATGCAAGAGAAACGGGCAGAAGACTAGGACTGCTTTTAGTAGTTACACCAGCCCAGTGCTGCTAAAAGTCATGATTTTGCTTCAAAAAGTAGTTAACACAAATTGTAGTTTGAGCAGCTGGGATGGAAATGTAGGATTGCAGAAGCAGAAGCTGCCTCTAAGAACTACAGGTCAGTGCACTCTCTGCTTCTCACCAAATTTATGACGCTGAAATACAAAAAAATCTGTTACCCATACAAGATCCTTGTCTCCTGCACCCCTTGCTTAAAGCACAGACATCTCCTGTATGTCTTTTATTTTGCACTGTAAGGGGTTTAGGTATGACAAATGCCAAGAACCTGGTGTCATAATACAAAGCTTTTTTTTTCCCCACCATCTTTATTGTTTCTTGGAATAGTTGCAATGCCTTACAAGCACAAGAGGCTTCAGTCCCATACAGGTCATAAAAATAAGTCAAACTGAGTCATTGAAAAATATTTCTTCAACAGAAACAAACAAACAAACAAACCAAAAAAAGTGTCTTTTAATTCCTCTGCTAGTTTTGCAGTTTGACAAGGTACCATTGGTCCCCTCCTTTTTCCACCAACTACTTCCAGCCAGGGGCACAAGTGCATGGAACTTGTAACTTATTTACACTCTGCACAGCATTAGAACGTTACAGGCTTCTTACTGCAAAAGAAATGAGGCTCTTCTACCACCTAGTGCCATAGTTGCTCAGGTGCCGGCCTGGTGAGTAGTCAAGACAGGCTTCTTGTAAAACCACCTCCGTGCTGGTGTCATTTACTAAAAATAATAAACACTTTAAGAAAAATTAGCTGTCTGACAGGCAGCCCTCACTCACAGGCTACTGGAACACTTGTTAGAGGAGAGGGAAGAGTTAAAGCTCTGAGCAAGCACTGGTGATATTACTAGGTGGCACTACAGAGACAGAACTCCTACTTGTCTCTTGTGCCTTTGCAGCATTTTCCAGGATTTTCTTTTTCCATTCTTCGTAGTCTTGCTTTGTTTCAGTCTTTGGCCGTTTACATGGCATCTCCTCCTCATCTTCAGATGCTGTAAGAGAAGGAGAAAAGTCCCTGACAAGTCATCATGTGCAATATTTTGCTGCTAATAACCATGGCAGTGAGCAAATGCAGACACAAGCCCAGGGTCTGTCACTGTGTTACCTGATCCTGTGGTTTGCTGCTTTCCCTCCCCTGCAGGAACAGTCACCTCTTCACCTCTGTGTCTGAATGGACAAATTGTCCTTAATTTCTACTAGGACTACTGAGTATAAACACCACTGTCCTGCGAGGTTCTCTTCATCCTGCTGTTAGCCAGTGGTTTGCAGAAAGGAGCAAGCTGCTGTGAACTGAATATTATGGTGTATCACACAACTGAAATACAGGGCTCAAGTAAATGGAAGGAAGCTGCATCGAGAGGACACTTGGAAAAGATCCTTCACCAAGAGGGTGTTTAGTCATTGGAACAGGCTCCCCAGAGAAGTGGTAATGGTACAAAGCCTGTCAAGAGTTCAAGGAGTGTCTAGACGATGCTCTCAGTCATATGGTTTAGTTTTAGGCAGTCCCGTGAAAAGCAGAGAGTTGGACTTCATGATCCTTACAGGTCCCTTCCACCTAGAGGTACTCTCTGATAAAATAGCATTAAGCAGCAATAAGCTCAGGACTGCTCTGGTGAGCCAATATGTGTTCATAGCTACACACAACTTACCATCCTCCTCCTCATAGTGCTCCAGGTTGGTGTTCAAGCTTTCAGCTGTTTCTACTGCCGGTGGAACATCTTCTAAAAAAAAATAAGTTGCTTTACTTCTGTGTGGTGTTTGAGGCCCCAGGGGTGTTGTTCTACATGCAATTTTTTTGACAGCACTGCCAGCTTCCAGAAGTACGACCTCCCATTCAGAGCAGTTCCCTGGTGCAGACTGATGCCCAAGCTGTGCATGCAGAGGTGCCAGCACACTTCAAGGGTTATGTGGACTGGCTGGCTGCTCTAACTAGCATTGCTGCTGCATTTGTAACCAGTGCCCCACCACACTCATAGCCCAGAAACACACTGCTACCTTTCTTGATTAGTGAGGCAGGGCTAGTGGTTATTTCTTCCCCTTCTATCCCTTTTCCACAATTTATCTTCTAGATGCCTACAACATGCAGCAGGCTGTCCATGTATACAGATGCACACTCTTCCTGATACTAACACATAAACTCCCAGTTGCCCTTAACTGCTTCAGTGGTTGGGCAAGGTTTCAGGTCATTTTGTAGGGCACTGCACTAGTGGAAGGTCCATGCCTTAGGGAGAGAGCAGCAGCTTTTGGTTTGGATTAAGGCCACACATTAGAACGTGACAGGAAGCATGAAGACAGG